ATATATATATATATATATATATATATATATATATATATATATATACATATATCTATATATATATATATATATATATATAGATATATATATATATATATATATATATATATATATATATATATATATATATATATATATATATATATATATGTATATATATATATATATATATATACATATATATATATATATATATATACGGAAAAAACACAATTAACAAACAGTTCTATTTGTGTTAATAAGTCCCTGTGTAATAAGCTAACTAATAAAATTAAATATTTCACGACCCGGAGGTAATCCACTGTTGTAGGGTGGTAGCCCTCCTATGTAAAACTTGTGTAAAGAACTGCATGAAACCTTTACTTTATCAAAATGATTACAGAATTTCTACAAGAGAAAAACTGGCCAAAAACTTGATGGCAGAGCGAGTGAATCAAGTAAGCAGCTACATGAGTGGTGTGGGAATATATCAAAGATTCTCATGACTTTCGCTGATCGAATCAATCTTCTTGAATGCAACGAAAATGAAAAAAGTAAAGAAATAGCAAAACTCAAAGTAGATTTAGAATCAGCAAAAAAGGTAGTAAATACTTCAAACATCAGCAGCAATTGGGTTCAAGTAATAAAGCAAGGGGCTAAAAATGCTAAAAAACCAGCTGACCAATTAGCTGTAGCAAATGCAACTATAAGTGAGTTAAATGAAAGAGAAAGAAGAAAAAAAATGTAATTATTTATGGAATACCTGAATCCGAAATGGAATTTTTAGCAGAAAAAAAAGCAGACGATGGCGAAAAAATCAAAGAGATTTTTAATGTAGTTGGAAAAAGCAATGTTTCCCCAGTTTATGCAAGAAGGCTTAAATCTAAAGACACAAACAAACCCGGTCCAATAATTGTTGAACTAAGTGATGCTTCATTACGAAATCCACTTCTTCTAGCAGCAAAAAATTTGAGAGAGAAAGAAGGTTACAAATCAATTTACATAAGTCCAGATTTAACTGAAGCACAAAGGAGACTTGATTACGATTTAAGAAAGAAAAGAAACGAAGCAAACAGTACACTTGCTGAAGACTCGCCCTTTCGATATGGCATTCGTGGAAATCAGATCGTCAAAATTAAAGCTCAACAGTACTAAATTAACAAAATCATTTCAGCCACTATCTTTGAATGGACTAAATGCTTTGAAATGTATTTATTTAAATGCGACCTCTTTAGAAAATAAATTCGATGAATTTAAGGTATTAGTAGACACGTACCATCCACAAATAATAGCTGTTAGTGAAACATGGTTTAATAGCATCTCAGTTGTAAATCTAAATGGCTATAATCTGTATAGAAGAGACAGAAATGATGGGCGCAGAGGAGGTGGTGTGTGTTTATATATTACTGAAAGTATTAAATCAGTAGAGCTAAGCGATGCTGTTTTTAACTTGAGTAAAATTGAACAAATTTGGGCTACAGTATATTTTGAAAACAACAAGTATTTAGTTGGTTGTATCTACAGACCTAACGATTTTGTTGATATGAACGATTTTGATTTGGTTATCAAAAAGACTAAAGACTATGTTGATAGAAAAGGATACAAAGACTTATTAATTACAGGGGATTTTAATTTCCCATCAATCGTATGGTCAAATGGTTACATCACAAACATTAAAAAGGAAAATGGCATTGAACATAGCTTTAGTGAAACTCTTAGCAAAACATTTCTGTATCAGCATGTTAATGTTCCAACATTTCAAATATCAAATAATTCTGCTACTAACACTCTTGATCTAATCTTCACAACTCAGCCGGGAAGCATCTGCGCTATTGATCCAAGATCTGTCCTCGGTAACATAAATAAAGGTCATATGGTCATCTTTTTCGATTTTATTATTAAAAATAAGGTTAATAACTTATCGCACAGCCACTTAAAGTTTAATTACAAAAAAGCTGACACCAATAAAATCTCTGACTTTATTACAAATGTTGATTGGGTAATGCTATTTGAAACCTTATCTGTACAAGAAATGTACGACAAACTAATTCACTTTTCAAATGTAGCATGTAATCAATTCATTCCAGTGCTTGATGTATCTCGAATAAAAAAACAAATCGCTCCATGGATAAAAAATGATCTTAAAACTCTAATTAAAAAAAAGCAAAATCTAAGATACCTGAACTGTGCTTGTAAATGGAAAGATCTTACTTTGTGTAAAGAGTACAAATTGACTTGCAAGTTAGTTAAAAAAGAAATTAAAATAGCTCGTCTTGCATATGAAAATGATTTAGTTAAAAGATCCAAATCGAATCCGAAACTTCTGTATAAATACCTAAACAGCCAACAACTAGTCAAAGAATCAATCAGAGCCTTAAAAACAACTAATGGTAATCTAACTCAGGAACCTAGAGAGATAGCTAATCTTCTCAATAAATGTTTCCAAGATGTTTTCGTAAATGAAAAGGAAGGGGATCTTCCACATTTTACAGTTGAATTTAATGAAAATCACTCAAAGTTTGTTGATCTACATCCAAATGATATCAGCTACGAAATGATATTAGATAAATTAAAAAATCTTAATCAAAATAAAGCATGTGGTCCTGATAATATGCATCCATTTCTGCTCAAAAACTGTGCTGAAGCATTTGCAATTCCTCTAACATTAATTTTTAGGGCATCTTTAACTAATAGTCAACTTCCAGTTCAATTTAAATCAGCAAACGTAACGCCCCTATTTAAAAAAGGTGATAAGACTCTTCCCTGCAATTATCGTCCAGTTTCATTGACTTCTGTTCCATGTAAAATTATGGAAAGTATTATTAGAGCTAAAATGGAAGAGTACCTGTATAAAAATAATCTGCTAGCAAAAGAGCAACATGGTTTCGTTAGAAACAAATCTTGTACCACTAATCTTTTAGAAAGCATTGACTACATTTCATCAAGCTTAGATGTTGGTATTCCAGTTGATGTAGTTTTGTTAGATTTTGCTAAAGCCTTTGATACAGTTCCGCACAGGAGACTGTTAGCCAAACTAAAAGCATATGGCTTTGATGGTCTGCTACTTAAATGGATTGCAGCTTTCTTAGAAAACAGAAGACAAAGAGTTGTTCAAGGTGATATCATTTCTGACTGGGTTAAGATTTTTAGTGGTGTACCACAAGGTTCGGTAATTGCAGCACTTTTGTTTGTTTTATACATTAACGACCTTCCAAAAGAATTGCTTAATGTAACCAAACTATATGCTGATGATACAAAACTGCTGTCTCAATTATCATCAGAGCTATGCGCTACTAATCTTCAAAATGATCTAGATACTGTCTACAAATGGTCTCAAACTTGGATTCTTCTGTTTAACATATCAAAATGTGTAGTTATGCATTATGGCCACAATAACAAAAACTATTTATATAATTTAAACAGTATTCAATTAACGGAGTCAGATACAGAAAGAGATCTGGGAGTACTTTTTAATACAAACCTAAAATGGAAAAATCAAGTGATTAATGCTTCTAACAAAGCAAATCAAATGCTTGGTCGTATCAAAAAATCATTTGTTTGTTTCGATTATAAGTTACTTCGTATGCTTTATATTACTTTTGTTCGTCCATTACTGGAGTTTGCAGTTCCGGTATGGTCTCCATTTCTTAAATCAGATTGTGACTATATCGAAACAATCCAGCACAAAGCTACTAAACTAGTATCATCAATTAGAAATCTTTCCTATACAAATAGAATCGAAGAGTTAAACTTAACTACACTAGTGGAAAGGAGACAAAGAGGAGATCTAATACAAATGTATAAAATTATGAATAATATTGATAAACTAGAAAAAGGCATTCATTTTCCAATAGTTAACAATCGTACACGAGGTCACTGCTTTAAAATTTCTAAGGAAATGACCAAACATAAACACAGAGAAAACTTCTTCTTTAATCGAGTAGCGAATTTATGGAACTCTCTGCCAGAAGAATTTATTAAATCGCTTTCAATCAATAACTTTAAAGCAGCAATTGATTGCTGGATGAGCAGCAATCGATCATTTCGGCTGTCAAAATGTGCCTGATAACACACTCGCTGGCTCTGGCAGTTACAGCGTTTACTACTAACTAACTAACTATATATATATATATATATATATATATATATATATATATATATATATATATATATATATATATATATATATATATATATATATATATATATATATATATATATATATATATATATATATATATATATATATATATATATGTATATATATATACATATATATATATATATATATATATATATATATATATATATATATATATATATATATATATATATATATATACATATATATATATATGTATATATATGTATATATATATATATATATATACATATATATATATATATATATATATATATATATATATATATATATATATATATATATATATTATATATATATATTTATATATATATATATATATATATATATATATATATATATATATATATATAAACAAAGAGAGGGAGATACAGATATAGACATATACAGATATATACGACAGCTATATTAGCTATACTTTTATAATTTTGTTCATAAAAACACTTGATGTATGACTGCGATTATGTTTATAGAAGTAATACGAAAAAATTTGCGGAAAAAAAATACCACATAGAGCGAAATTTAAAAGGCACTTGTAGTTTTTTTTTCTGGAGCTCAAGACAGAAATAGAGGCAGAAAAGATGATCCTAATATTATCATGGGTTTAGCAGAGTTGTTTAACTTGCAAACTGGATTGAAGATTTTGAATAAATTTTTGTGTTCTTAATATGGTCACAAGTTTGTACTTGTTTAAAACCCTAAATCATTTGAAAATTATGGCGCCGGTATGGTAGTTATTCTAATTTTATAGCTTTCATTTTTCTCAAGTTATTTTCATAGTTTTTTATATTGAGCTACACTTTTGTTTGTACAGTGAAAACTATGTTCAATAATAAAACTATAATTTTATTTAGATATGGTAGATGTCCTAGAAAAAACTGGTAGTAACTCAATGTAGATACACATAGTCGATGGAGTTACTTGCTAATAACTGGCAATGAGACATATTTGCTTCAAATGATGCCTTTAAAGTTTGAAAAGGTTAGTTTATTATGCTCGTCTTAAATGGATAGTTTTTATATTTTAATTATAAATCAGTGTCTGCTTTAATATAGTTATCATAAAAACTAGTCATCTAAAAACATTCCTGCAATTTAATATCATGATAGTGACTTACTCTTGTCTTTTTCATGTTTAGATTTTTTTAAATTCAAATGTTGACTTTTTGTTACATGAACAAAGATACTTATTTCAACCCCTCGACTATATTGGTAAGTAGAGCATTAGTCAGAAGTTGTATTTAAGCTTACTGTTTATTAAGTTTTACTTTTTTCAAGAAAAGCACATAATATGACTTTATTTTTATATAGCTTTTTAAAAGTAGTTACATAACTTTTCAAATTAAACAATGTTTTTGCTGTTTTTATCTGTTAAATTATGTTTTAATATTAAAATGAATTTTACATTTATTCAATGCAGATACACTTAGTATGTGGAGTTACTTGTCAATAGCTGGCGATGAAACTTTTAAACGTAACGTCTTTAAGGGCTGAGAAAGTTAGTTTGTTTCGTTATAATAGCTCTAAACTGAAATGTTTCAATATTTTGATTGGATACTGTTGTCTGCTTTTATGTAAAAATTAGAAATCTGCAGACTGCAACGTAAATCGATTTCAACACGTTATGGCTTCTCGAATATATTTAGTTTCCGATTGAAATGAGAATAAACTGAACTCTTATATTTTAAGTGTTTACAATTAACTTTTTAAACTAGAAATACTCCAAAGGAGGTTCTCCAAACGCAAGTTAAGCAAAGTCGATAAATGTTAATATCTTTTATATTATGTTTTAGATATAAAAAAAAAATTTGTGACTTTAATATTTATGTTATAATTGTAAATTGCAATCTTAAAAAGATTTTATTATTACTTCAGATTGTTCTTTTTGTTCATATATTTGTTCACCGAGCTTAAGCGTTGCAACGTATGACCTAATGATTTACAGTTATGGTAGTGTTTCTTTATGTTATGAGTATTATTTACTAAATTTGTTTTGATTTATTAAGTATTTAATGGCTATATACCTAAGCACAAAGTTAAAAGGTATTTGATGTGCTTTCCAGGCTTAAGCAGGGTTTGCCATTCTTTTTAGCGTAAAAATTGAGCTAAAAATATTTAAAAAATTTCCTTTAAGTGCGTTTTGTTCAAATAAAAAAAAAATAATGATGTGCATATTAATGCATTCCAATCTTGATCAAAACATATAAAAGGTCCTATGTTATTCCGCTATCGTTTTTTCATCGGTTTGCCGCTGACGGACCGTTGTTAAAAAGTTTGCGATTTGCCGCCATCGGACCGCTATTGAGCCGCATGCAGATTGCTGCTAACGGACCGATGTAAATACGATGTGCAAGCCTACGCGGCAACGCAGCGGGCGGCCGACGTCGGCACGGCATAAGTGCTGACAGCGGTCCGTTGTCGGTCCGACTGCTCAATGTTTGCTGGGTATATATATATATATATATATATATATATATATATATATATATATATATATATATATATATATATATATATATATATATATATATATATATATATATACATATATATATGTATATATATATGTATATATATACATATATATATATATATATATATATATATATATATATATATATATATATATATATATATATATATATATATATATATATATATATATATATATATATATATATATATATATATATATATATATATATATATAAATGAAGGCATTTCTCCTTTAAAACATTTATCTATAAAAATAACGCATTATAATCTCTGTAAATCAAAAGTGAAAACAAAGATTTAAATTTAAACGGTTTTCAAGCTTTAGAAATTTTACTATTTACAACGACTTAGTGTTTAATGAATTATAGTTTTCAAACAATTTAAAAATTTAAGTTTTGATCCTGTTGACGATTTTCTTAACTTTCTTAAGATAATTTAAAAATTATTAAGGAAACTCAAATAAAATTAATGAAAACAGTATTTTAATTCTTATAAATTGAAAATTAAAAAAGATATTATTTCTTTTTCTACATTTCATTTAAAGATAATAAGCATGCGTCAAAAAATTTAAAGAGTTTTTAGATATTATAAACTACATGTTCGACGTCATACCTGTGTCGGCATGAAACAGAAAGTTCGATTAAATCAAACTCTATTTATCGCTTGCCACACTACAACTACTAGTAGTTAGCCAACCAAAAGTAAATTTTAAAAGTGGTCGAGGACTAGGATTTTACATACTTGAAAAATATATATTTAAGATAAAAAAACATTAAAGCTGAGTCAATGAAAACTATGAAAGTCTTTTTATTGAAAAAGAGTAAACTGGGTTAAGAGTAAACAGTAGCTTTAAATCTAATTATGTTTTTAAAAAATATATATATTTTTTTGTTTTATAGTTAATTTTCTTGTATTAAATAAATGTATAAAAATTCAGAAAAATACTTTAAAAACTTTTAGAAAAATAGATTTTTATAAAGAAAAAAAAACGTTTTTTTTCCCCTTAAATTTGGGGAAAAGTTAACTGGTTTATTTTAATTACAATTGATAAAGATATTAAGAAATCGAGCTAAATTAATTAAAAATAAAATGAAAATTAATCTAGTTAGAAGTCAGTTTACAGAAAAACTATTTTAATCAAACATACGAAATAAATTTTTTATTTAATTAAATAAATTTGAAGTATTTCATCGTCGGAAGAAACATTGCTTCCTTGCTCTGCACCACATTTTGTACCTTTGGTGTCTTTATCTTTTTGAATGCTGGACTTGCTTAGTTTCATCTGAAGCTTCACTTAAATGAATCTTGCGTTTCATTAATTGCTTTGACCTTTTGACCTTATTACTTTGGTTTGGTTTCTGGAGCACCTCAGATCTACCCAGTGGGCACCCGACGTCAATCCGACGTGGGATTTACGTACGATTTTCATCAGCGATGTCAAAAGACCTATTCCGACGTTGTTCCGATGTCAGTAAAATGACGTCGGGCGATGTCTTTATCTCAACATCCCCTGACGTCGTTTCGATGTATTTTGACGTTGTTTCGACGTCTTATATAAGACGTCCAAAAAACGTCGCAGTACTGACATCGATCCAACGTCGATAAAAAGACATCGGGCAACGTCATAATATTAACGTACTCCGATGTCTTTTGACGTCTTCCGACGTCAATCCAACGTCCTTAAAACGACGTCGGAACAACGTCGTAAGACATCGCTGATGAAAATTTAATCCAAACCCAACAATATGTGTGCAATTGCGCTCTTCAATAAATATGTGAACTAAGCGTGTTTTTTATTAATGGAAAGAAGTTTGAATAATGGTTGATAAAACATCATGAGGTTTTGTATGATGCACTAGCATAGTTTTTTAACTATTAACATTTTCGAGTATACATTTTTATAATATATAACTATTCGCTTTAATATTTATATAATATTTAAACAAAATTATTTCTTATCAAAGTAATAATTCCCAAATAGCTACAAGTATAGATTACTAAATTAAACACATGAAGTAATATGATTCTGTGGTGTAGTGGTAAGCGCGTAGGATATAGAATCTAATAGATCGAGGTTCGATTCCTGCATAAGGCAACGTTTTTTAGTTTTCAAAAAACACGTTGGATTTACATCGGAATGCCGACGTCGCGCGATGTCAGTTTATCCGACGTCAAATAATATTTCCATTTCCAACGTAAACCCAACGTCGATCCGACGTCGAGATCCGACGTCGCTCGACGTTCGTTCGACGTCGAAATGCCCACTGGGTACTAGTCACTGGCCTTTAACTCTCAGAATGTTGACTCTTTTTAGTTGTTTGTGTGTTAACATGGTGGCGCTGTAAAACATTTTTTATATTGCTTTTAAGTTTTTCTGTGGAGTGTTGCCACATTTGATATGTTTGAGCAGGACTAGTGTTATTGTTAAATTTTGTATTTGGCGATTCTTTGGAGTTTAATGCTGACTGATGTTAGATGATGATATAGGATGGAATGAGGATGACGAAGCATGCTTGTTTGACAATAGAACAGACTGGAATGAAGATAATGAAATAGGCTGAGATGGCACTTGAAATGTTTGAGAAATTTTTTATTTTGATTGGTTAACTTTGCTTATATTAAGTGGGAACAAAACAGTGTTTTGAAATCTAGCGATCGTGTATATGCTTCAACGAAACTAAAAGATTTTGCTTGTAGTTGAATGAAATTTTATTTTGGTAATTTGCTGTAAAAAAGTCGTTTAACGTGACGATATGACACACCTACGTCTATCGGTTGGAGTATGTGGAACGAATAAGTCGGTAAACATATCTGATGTAATTGACAATGCAATTACGTGCAACATCGTAAGTAACATATGTGACGTGACCGTCCAAGACTCAAATGTGAACACCTATAATTAAAAAAAGTATTTGATTTGTTGACTAATTACTTAAACTACTGAATTTCAGTACTCCAAACTAATTACCAGGAAATAATTTGGTTTAAACACGTTAGTGAGCCATTGAATAAATTGTTTCTCTTCGTACAACCCGACTTGGATCTTATAAAAAAAGTGTTTGGTATTCCCCCTGCACACCAGTCTCTCTAAAGACGTGATATTGATTTGTAAACTACGAATGGTGATAAAATGGTACTGGTAGAGTTGACACATCTACCAAATTTGTAATTAATTTTTTCACTTTTACCAACCAATTTTAAAGGATGTTTAGCATCAAGCCTGCAAATTATATGTTGTTTACCTTAATCGCCTGAAAATCCAATTTTGTCAAAAATCCATAAATTACTCGCTGTGTTATTGTTGATATTTCCTTTTAGAAATTATTTTTGAAGTGTATTGAAATAACTTTTTATTTTGTTCTCGGTACAATAAGAAGCTCGGCCAGACGAAATATTGCCTGCTACTCTGACGCCTAATTTTTATTTAATTCAATCGTTTGTGAAATCTTGATACCATTCTTGTCCTGTTATACCGTTTCGTGGAAACATATGACTTTGATTTGTAGATACCAAGTAAACCCTAACTATTGCGACGACTTACGCGAACGTGCTGCCAAAACCCTAACTAGCTAAACTGGTTAGTACAGCTAATGTTGATTACTTAAGTTAAAAAGCACATTTCCTTAAAGAAGATACGAAAAAAAATCACATTTGTCTTGACGTGGTATCTTTTCCTTACGAGTCCCACACTGCAGATAATCTTGTTAAATTTATGAATGAATCACTTTAGAGTTGGGGATTACTTGAACCTCAATGTAGTAGTAAAAGATAATGCCAGAAATGTAGTCTCTGCTATGGAAGTAGGGAAATTTTCAAATATTTCTTGTCTTGTCCATACACTTCTGTTTGCTGTAAAAGATGGCTGTCTCAACAACAAACACATTTTTTTACTAACTGCTACATTTAGAAGAATAGTAAGACACTTTAAACATTCGATTAAATTGTACAAACCTTTGAGACCGTCTCAAGAGGTTTTGGGACTTCCTAAACACAGTATCATTTAAGATGAGCCAACTATAATAAATAGCACTTTCAACATGCTAAATCGTTTCATTAAACAAAAAGATGCGA